CATCTAAGAGAAGGACGAGTGGAGCAGGAAACGTGGTGAATGGTCACATTCTTCTCTGAGAACGTGGAATCATTCAGGCGATGTAGCGGCTCCTTTCTCCTCTCAGCGCTAACAGGCTGCTGAATGATGGCTGCTTCCATCACACAAAAACACTTGTGACCCGTCATCAGTGGCGGTTCTACATGGAATTACTCCCCGGGCGAGGCCCCCTTTGAGCGCCCCCACCACCACAAACACACGCATGTTTTCTACAAACAGGCATGTTTTATTAGAACGACTATTGAACATTCATTTTTCTAAGTTGCACATATTTACATTAATTACTATGAAGTTGTCAGAATGTAAAGCAATATACATTATATACTGTATCAAAATATATAGAATCAAATATACAAAAACAAACAACTAAATATTAAGAATATATGAACATAACATAATAAATATTAGGGCCCGACCGATATATCGGCCGGCCGATATAGGGGTCATTAACACTATCGGCTATTGGCCAAAAAGACGGCCGATATGGCCGATATAGCGCTACCTATCCAGCAGATGGCGCCAGCTTTATGAACTCATGTTGTGTGGCTCCATTCCTCGGGGTGGGGGGTGGAGCCACTGTCACAGCACACATGCAGCGGGGCAGCAGAAGCAATTCTGTCAAGCAGAGATGACGGTGATGAGGAAGAAGGAGGTAAGTCTTCAGTTTTAAGCATATTTGTTGTGTCAGTGGTAAGTTGAACGGTAAAATAAGCAACGACAAAAGTATGTTTCCCCTCAACATGCTTCCTAAGTTTATCGTGTGCCTCGTGGCCTCGTACTGAAAAGTTAACCTGAAAAAATAAAATAAAGCTGCCGCAGCATTACGCTCTATGCAGAGCTCAGCTGCTTCCCCTTTAGTCATGCAGGGCAGTAAGTTAGTAACATTGGCCTTTTTCTGGTAGACATTCTGGAATATTCTCAGACAATTTCCTCCGCTCTTCTTCAGCAGTCTTTTCAAACTCATGCGGTTCGCCCGCGGCTCTCGAAAAAAATAGTGCAGACGCCGAAACGATCGCTGCACTGCGCGGGGGGAGCGCCGGCGCGCAGCGCTTCGGCGGCCCATGTGGCCTATAGAATAGGATAACAAGGGCGACGAATGAAGGCGGTCCCCGTTTCGCGGCGCTTCGGCAGCACATGACCGTTGTCGCAGCTGAGGATGGGCGAGGGGGGGTTGGCAACAAAGCAATGAAACGCTGTGCTGGGAGTCCCCCCTCCTCCCCCTAGCTGGGAGAGGAGTAGGGGCGGTAATACGAGAAAATAAACATTCCTCTCTACAATAGAATAAATCTATTGTATTTTTCAGCCTTACATTTTACATAAGGCTTATACATCGCCACATACTAGTCATTTAACGTATCTTATTTTTATTTTCCTAACACTGTCGGCTTTGGAGAGGATAAAAACACAAAAGTGTAAAACTCCACAGACTCAGAAAACAAAAAACTTGAATGTTAGATTTATACTGACTGAGTTTGTGTGTTCTGTTTTTTTTGAGATTGCAAAATAAATCTTATTTGCATTACTTGGAAACCCTGGTGAGTTATTGAGACAGTTCTTTGGTGTGTAATATAGAAATAAGTTAGCATCAAAAAGGCAGAGAATGAAGGGTTTAATCTTAAGAACATTTGTACTTATTTCTTTTTTGTGAGGGAGATTTATCGGCCATTATATCGGCTATCGGCCTTTGTTAAAAGTTTTATATCGGTATCAAAAAAATCATATCGGTCGGGCCCTAATAAATATTCTAAATAGCAAAAATGTTTCACACATAACAAACTAAAGATAATCACTACAGCATTGCACTTAGAACAGAAAACACAAACTAAAATTAAAACCTAACCTTGATGCAACGTCATCAATAATGTCATCATATGAAATCTGCTCCCCTACTGAGTGATTGATACTAATCAGAGCCAGGTGAGTGAGCCGCCCCTGAAACATAGCTGACCTCAGGTATGACTTGATCAAGTTTTGAAAAGCTCCTCTCAGCTGGAGCCACAGTGACTGGCAGAGCAGTCCAAAAGTTGGGGTAGATCTCCAATAGATCTTCATCATGATCCATAATATTTTAGAATTGCCTCTGAAATTGTAATTTAAACTGACATAAAAAACTGTAGACTACCAAAAATGCCAACTTTTACAGAACAAATCATGTAAAAAATAATCAGTGCAACCATCTGCAATAAATAAACAGGATAGTTAGTGGTGACTGGGGAGTTTTCTTCTGCTTGTAGAGTTGTTTTATTTATTATGTGAACATGATCAACATGTGTTTGTTGTTGTTCAGGCAGGCCACAGGCTGCAGCGAGCATTTAACAAATCCTAGTTTGAATCAGTAAAAAATGATTCAAGGAATTTTTTCGAACCATTTGAATATTGGTTTCAATATTTCAGCCCTATTAGCTCTGTTAGCAGATAGCTGACTGAATTTAACCGTTAAAATCCCAGTTAACTGGTTCAAAAAATGTAAAACATGCATCATGAGAGCGTACATACCTTTATCTTTCTCCTCTTTTTTTCTTTTTTTTCCTGAATTGGGCACCTGGTGGTTTTAGCCTTTTTATGTTCATCTCTTCTGTTTGGCTCCTGACTCAATAAGTGTTCTTTAGTCAGGACTAAACCATTTGACCTTGATGGGGGGGGGTGACCACAAAACCGTTTTGTTTTTCCTTTTTTTATTCGGCCATTTCACACAATTCAGAAAAAGCTGAAAGAATGATAGTCCTGTGTTTATGATATTATGAATGAAATGTGTGTTAAATGGAAGAACATCAAGATGTGATTGACTTTAGCCATGTTAATACAGTTGATTCAGCCCTACCCGCTCATTTCATTCGGGAAGACCCAGAGGTGAATTCCCCCGCCGCACCCCTCCCCTGCCTCTGTTCATACACGCACGGTGCACATGAACCCTCTCAGTCAGCAGGAGCACCTGCAGCTGCAGGGGGCGCCAACCTGCTGTTTCCAATCCAGACACTGTCATATGACAGACAGAATAGAAAACCTCGGTGCGGCGCAGATTTCTTTCATTTTTATTTTTTTACTCAGGCTTGGTGTCATGAAAAAATGCTGCCCCGAGCAACTGCCCTGTCTGCCCGTGCCTAAAACCGCTACTGCCCGTCATCAAAAGAAGGAACTGGTCGGGGAGCCCTCACAAAGACAGCATCATGCCTTTGAGCAAGGCAGCATGCACTCTAGTCAACAGAGCCTGCTATTAGATCACAGCCCTTCAAGCCTTTTCAACACACATCAGTCCAGTGTGTGTGTGTGTGTGTGTGTGTGTGTGTGTGTGTCTGTGTGTGTGTGTGTGTGTGTGTGTGTGTGTGTGTGTGTGTCTGTGTGTGTGTCTGTGTGTGTGTGTGTGTGTGTGTGTGTGTGTCTGTGTGTGTGTGTGTGTGTCTGTGTGTGTCTGTGTGTGTGTGTGTGTGTGTGTGTGTGTGTGTGTGTGTGTGTGTGTGTGTGCTCTCCCCACCTATTCCACCTTCCTCAGGATCCACTGATTTCCCTCTTTCCTATTCACTCTCTCTATTGCTCATTTTAAATATATTTTTAAACATTTTCGAAATGCTTTTTTATATTTTTACAATTTTTATATTTTTTGTTTTTGTTTTTGTGAAGCGCCTCGTGATTTTTATCTTTAGAGGCGCTAATGATATTTTCTTCTTCTTCTTCTTGTGTGTGTGTGTGTGTGTGTGTGTGTGTGTGTGTGTGTGTATGTGTGTGTGTGTGTGTGTGTGTGTGTGTGTGTGTGTGTGTGTGTGTGTGTGTGTGTGTTTGTGTGTGTGTGTGTGTGTGTGTGTGTGTGTGTGTGTGTGTTCTTGTACATACTACATACTGAGGACCATTTTCCACACATTGCGATGACATTTTTTGGGTCCTCACTTTTTTAGAAGCTTACCAGCTGGTTTTAGAGGTACGGTGTGAATTAAGTTTTAGTTAAGGTTAGGGATAGATCAGTATTGGTTATGGTTATAGTATGGGTAAGGCCTAGTGGAATCACAAAATTGAATGGAAGTCAATGGAGGGTCTTCACTATGATAGAAAGACAGGTGTGTGTGTGCATGTGCGTGCGTGTGTGTGTGCGCGCGCGCGTGCGTGTGTGTGTGCCTGATCCGACCCAAACTCATTGGTCCACTGTGCACAGCCAATAGCTGATGATTGGTTAGGGAAGATGTCACTCAAAAGTTTGAAGCTAACATTTGGATGCTAGCCGGGATTATGAGAGACACATCTGAGGGACAGAGTGAATGTTTTCAGCGGCCTATTATGTTGGATTGGGAATGTGAGACTTGTTGTGGACTAGCTATTTTATTGGAGTACTTTTATTAGACTTGATGTGAGACGACCGTTCATGTTGGAGACAGCGCATGAACATGAAACGTGTTACAAAAAGTGGCTGAATTCACGTGGAAGTTTGCAATGCCCCATCCATCAGGCATTGGCATAAAAATATCAGGTGCCCCTTTTTGAAGGACATAGAATTTGGACTCATATATTTGGACATCTCTCCTCTGATTGGCTAACAGCAACGTGACTCTACCACCAACTCGGTTTGCTTTGCAACGTTGATATTTTACCTCCACAAATAACTCAAGCCAGGAGTTCTGCTTTGTAGTGGAATTGCTAATGCTAATGGTTAGCTTCTGCTAGCTGACACATTCTCTGCGGTTTCCTGGAAGAAAAAACTACAACAACCTTCCCCATCATGAGCCAAGATGGGTGAGTCCATGAATGTTAAGTGACAGTGTGACGTAGATCTGTCAGGATTTTCAAGTCCTCGAGTTTCACCGTCAATTTTCTAGCAGAAGCTAATGCAGGAGATAGGTGTAGGAGACCATTTTCATGTTCAGCCTGCATGAAAAACTCAGAGTGACTGATTATGATCAGAAATAATAATAAAAAATGTTTTTTTCAGTGAAGTTGACCTTTAATAAATAAACTGAACTGCACATTATACTTACTGTCCTTCTATGAGCCAGGTGCACTTGGTCTTGTATTTGTAGTTTCCAGGGCCATCAGTCAAATACCCAGATGGTCCTGTGAGTCTGTCAGAAAGTAAGAAAAATACAGAACTTTACAAATAAAGATTTACATTTGAATCTCTCTCTCTCGCACACACACACACACACACACACACACACACACACACACACACACACACACACACACACACACACAGTTGTGCAAGAGTCATCACCAAGTCAGGGAGGGTTTAGGTAAACAATAATTTCAGCCGCTTCCCTCAGGTCAGAGTACAGCGAGCAGCAAAGTAGGTGAAAATAGAAAAACCTAGTCCAGAAACTTGTTCAGCCGATGTGTGACTGACACACACACACACACACACACACACACACACACACACACACACACGCACACACACACACACACACACACACACACACACACACACTTTCATCCAACATCTGCAGCCAGGAATTGACAGAATTACAGACGTTCTGAAATAAATGATTTTTTTTGTTTTATTTTCTCCTTTACTTTGATTTTCTGAAGGAATTGTTCACAACCTTTAAAACTAGCCTCTTCCAAATCTTACTCAATATTGTGTTTTATGTATCCAGGCAACAAGCCATTGTTTATAAAAATTCCCCTCACTGCTGCCAGATCCAGGTGATAGTCCCAGACAGCTGTTTGGGTCCAAAGGAGAAGGCGTAGTTAAGCTAGACACAACTGTGTCAGAATGCTCTTCTGCACATCAGAAACTCCTGAGTCAGCTGTCTGATGATCCCACTGACATCTCAGAGGGACGTAGCTTTATGTATATGAGGTAAAATGGCGTTTAGGCATCAAGGCTAAGCAGCTAGCCCAAAAATAGCTACTCTAGATGTGTTCCAACAAAAACCTGACCAGAACCTTTAGATCGGAGAACATTTTCACAGTTCCACAAAGAAGAAAAGGACCAAGACAAGAGGCTTTTGGATGTACCATAATACATCAAACAGAAATAATTGACTGACTTGGAGCAGCACTGAAGTTAAAACATGTAAACCATTATTTATCGAGAGGATAAGGTGCTTGAGATTAAGAAATCTCTCTTTAGAGGAAGAATTCTACTTTGTTTATGTTGTTTCGATGCAATGTGGGTATTTGGCAGCAGTTAAACTGTCTTTTAATCTGGGAATAAAAGATTGTTGTACAGTTTTATAACAATCATCTAATTTAATTACCATCAACAGACACAAAGGACAGAAATCGCAGACATCTTCAGGCATAAACTGATACCTGCAAACTGCTTAAAGCCAAACAAAAGAATGAACTTAATTCCCTCCAGCTAAATATGGATGACGGTGAGACTCTTCGGGTCTCTCCACACAGCACACACACCCATAAAAACCTGCCTATGAATGCAGAAGTCAGACTTTGACCCTTTAGGACCACAAGGCTATAAAAACCAAATAAACGCCATCCTTAGTGTTGGAGCAGCAGAGTTCAGCAGCATCAGTCACTGTTTGGTTAAACTCGTCTGTTTGATGTTTCTTGAGGGGAAAGCGGGGGTGGGGGGTGTATGGAGCCTATATAAGCTCTTAAATTTGAACATGTATAAAGCTTAATTTAAACTTCTCCATCAGCTCCACGAGGGAGACACGCATGGACGGAGACATTTTGCTACCATGCATCTGCATCTCCTGGGAAGTGTTGCAAAGCAATTCCACATCAGGACAACAACTGAGGGCAAAGCGCTGTTCTGTGGTATCTTGTCATATATCCGGTCCGTAATAGGGAGCCTAGGTCACGCCCATCTACTACCGGACCATGGGTCCCTGGAAGAATGAAAAAATTAATGCCAGTCAATGGGGTTATTTTCTGATTCCGCTTGTTATGTTCCATGGATTTCACATATGATGTCCGAGAATTTTAAAGACACATTTTGATACCAAGAACGCGCTTATTTTCGAACAGGGGGAAATGCTATTTTAGGTTTTGTGTGAAAATAAATCCAGGACTACAAATCCGCTTCACGAAAGTGACGTCACCGAACCAGACATGGAGAAAACTGAAGGAAAAAGGCTGTAAGTTCAGCAAACTTCCCACAGAAGGAAAGAGCCACCATAAATCTGGTCATTTGGTAAGCAGCAGCTACGTTAGTGGAGAGGAGATTATGTGGTGATGTCACATATGCGACGTGCCGATTTCTGGTGTGTAGTCATGTTACTTACGACATTTTACAAGCTAATAAATCTCAAAGTGCGTGAAAGGCGTGGTCGAAACACCCATCATTACTTTTCATTTAAATTGCAGTGCAACATATGTGTGATCCAGGGCGTAAGGCAAAGCGGATTAGAAAATAGCTTTTTTAGCTCCATTGATTTGCATTCATTTTTTCGTTCTTACGGAGACCCATGAGCCGACCAGAAGGGGAGGAGACTTAGGCTCCCAACGGTGTGTTGATAGTGTTTTTTTCTATTTAGAGACACACAGACTAATTTGTCATTCATCCTCCTCTACCTCTAAATGCACTCGCCACCTCTAAACCCAAGAATAGAATGCCTGCTGTGCATTTTTTCACTCCTCCAGTCACGGGGGAATAAAATGTTCATTTTTTTGAGTTTTTCCACGAGATATTCTTCAAGCTTCTCCGTGTCTGCCGCAAGACATCATCAGCTCTCTTTATGTTTTTGAGGGCGCAATGGCGGCGCTGTAGACAACAGCAGCGTCCTGACCAATCAAAAGCTTGCGGTCTCTGTCTCGGCAGACGGATGTTTAGAAAAGAGAGCTCGACTCCGTCTGTTGCAAGTCTGTCAGAGAGCCCTCGAAAGGACGGATAAAGGCATTGCGTGCGTCCATCCTGACGCAGGCTTCTCAGACGCACGCAAAGCCTTTATCTGTCCTTGCGAGCCTGCTGGAGAGCCCTCGCAAAGATAGACCACAAATAAAAAGTCTCCTGAATAAAACACAATAGTAAATGCACTATCTTGGACCAGATACATGCCAGGATGCCACGGAACAGTGCTACGCCCTCTGTTGTCCTGGGGCAAATTGTCTCCATCCATGCGTGCGTGGTTCTCTCTGGTAGAGATGATCGAGATGTATAAATTGGGCTTCAGACTTAACATGTAAGATTTACCTTGACGGTTAACTAGTGAAGACAGGCTACTGTGAGAGGAGACAGTAGGAAGCTGTGTGCTGCATGTTAGTGTCTCCAAAAGCAACACTGTTCAAGGCCACCTAGGTTTACCAATTTAAGGGCGCCACGGACTTCTTTGATGTGTTTTGCCGCGCCCGTGTGTTCAAAGACATTTGCGTTACTGAGAAGGCTGTGTGAGCACTATTACTTTTCTTTGCTGATAGCTTACTCTGTTAGTCGGCTCTGGGGGGGTTCCCAACTACAGGGGTATCACACTCCTGGGCCTCCCTAGTAATGTCTATTGAGGGGTTCTGGAGAGGAGGGTCCGTCGGATTGTTCAATCTTGAATCAAAGAGGGGCAATGTGGTGTATTGCTAGCAGTAACTCGCGCTTGCTCCCGGTGAGAGTTGGACTCCGCCAAGGCTGTCCGTTGTCAACGTTTAAATGGGAGGAGACCTAAAGAAAGACCCACGACATGATAGAGGGACTACTGGCATTTGCACACTAGCATCGGCTCCACTCCGCCTGGACCAGGTTTGGAGTGTTCTCATTTAGGTATTTTCCCGCGTGCAACCAAACATCTTTTCAGCCCTCTTCCCGAGGCGGTCTGCCTGGAGCCAAACTGGTCCAACACACCCTCTGCTGACTGATTGGCTGGCTCAAACTGATGCCTACCATTAGAGGAGCCTCCGATTAGTGGATAGAATAAGCCCGCGGGGGCTTTCTGAACACGCTCACATGCACACACAGCTGTCTGACACAGAGAAACACGATGCTATATCAGAGTCAGGGAGTAGGGCTGCAACAACGAATCGATAAGTTCGATGAAAATCGATTACTAAAAGCGTTGGCAACGAATTGCGTCATCGATTCGTTGTGTTGCACAGCTCTTCCGAAAGCCCCCTCCCCTCCCGCTCGCCGTTGTGCGCAGACCGGAGAGCCGGCAGGTGTTTGGAAAGAGGAACATGGCAGAAGCAGCGAGACCCCAAAAAAGTAAAAACTTCTAAAAGTTTGGGAGCATTTTCAGTTAAATCAGGTGAAGACATTCGTTACCTGCAACGTTTGTAGGTCAGACTTAGCATGGCACGGGAGTGCTACAGTGATGATGCAGCATCTGAAACGCAAGCATGTCAGAATCATCAGCGAGGAAGGAGAGCTCGGTGTCCGGGTAAGTTAAAAACTTTTCAAAAGTGATTCAACCAAGTCCCGGATTATTACACAGGCTAGACATGCCCTAAGCTCGTAAAAAAAAAGTCTATAAAATTGTAAGCGCGACGCTATTAGATAGGCGGGGGGAGGGGGGGGGGGGGACTCGCGCTGCTGCGAACCGGTTCCGCCGTCACATTCCCGCAGAAACTGGTTGATCACACCGCGGCCAGACTACTAGCATGTGGTTTTACAACCACAATGTCCTCAGAAGCAAAAACGCTTTTAAAAGGGAGGGAGGAGTCCTAACTGTTGCTGCAGGCGTGTTGTGTGAGAGTGCAGTTATATACTGGTTAATATATTTTTGGGTTCAGTTGCTTTCATGTGGCCTAATGTGAGTCTATTTGGGATCATTGGAATGATCAGCAGCATTTCTTGATGTGACTTTATGGCAGTTGCCCAGGGCATCATCGCAAGGAGGATGGCATTCATTTACTTTTGTTTTATTTGGTATTTTTCAGTCATTTTTGGAAATAGTGATTAATTTTGATTAAATCACAGCCTATGTTTAATTACATTTAAAAATTAGTTGTTTGACATCCCCAATTATAATAAATGTCTACGGATGAGATCAAACAAAACAGATGAGAATTCCCCTTAAAGAGCAAGTCACCCCCAAATAAACTTTTTTTTTGCTGATAAACTAAATAAACGAGTGTCTAATCGTGCTGCAGACACGTGTCGTCAATATTTGGCACTTCAGTGCATCTTAGTTCAAATTTAAATATTCTGCCTAAAACTGGCAGTGTTGTGTCG